TACACAATACCAAATTGAAAATAATAATCTTCTTAAAGTGCAAGTGAATATCTCATATATTTTTCAAATTAAAACAAAGCACAACTCCAGGTATGTTTTTGATGAGGAAACTACATTATAACATGGATCAGAAAATAGCTTACCGTATTTTCCACACTATTAGGCGCTCTGGATTATAAGGCGCACTGTCATAAAAAGGTCTATTTTCAAACTTTTTTCACAAATAAACCGCACTGGTCTTTAAACGAAACACAACAGTTGGATGGGTCAGTGGGACTTTGTTTGGCGCGTTCACGGTAACTCTCGGCTTTGTTCAGTTGTGGCGTGTAGGGAGGGTGCTGTCTGGGACCGCTGGATTTTTGGCATGTTCGCAGTGACTCAGTTGTTCAGTTGTGGCTAGAAGTGGCACATCGCTTTTTCGGTTCGTTCCTCCGTTCCATTCCTCGTCGGAGTGGAGTGATGAGTGTGGCTGCGGGTGTTTTTCGCCGCATGGTCGCTGTCTGCTACGTGCATGTTTGCGTGCGCTGTGGGTGGTGTGGCTTTGTAGTTTACTGAAGTCTTGCTGGGACACCCAAGTGGATTCGTGTATAGGGCGCTCTGGATTGCGGGGCGCGCAGTCATTTTTTGATGGTGCTGGAGGCTTATGAGCGCGTCCTATGGTGCGGAAAATACGGTAATATGGGACCTTTAAAAGTAGCATTTGCTGTAGACTTCGCTTCAACATTTGTGAATATATCTGTCCATAAGTTTTGACTCAGCTACTTCAAACAGCCCCCTGCTTTGGTGTGTGTTTGTGTGGCTGCACTCGCCCATTTACTCTCATTTAGAGAACAGGCGGCAGCAGGAAGTGGATCTATTTTTCAGTTTACCATTGTCAGGTGTGGAGCCAACACGAGGATCAATACAGCGCTGTGCTGCTCCACGACTTGGTCAATTCCATTTCCTCTGAAAAGCCCCATTCCTACAGCAGGAATCTCTCTATTCTCTGCCTTCCTCTGCTCTAGTGCACTGCGGAAAATGTCACAATGCAATTACCCGAATAGGCCCAGACATCCTGTTAATTGGAAAAAAGGCATAAAATGAACTGAACAACTATTACAGTGTTAAAATCCAGTAATAACTATGTGTTAACCTTTGCTTAAGGTACTTTTTTTTTACTCATTACAGCAGCATGACATGACGCCAGATGAACAGATCATGTTGCCTGTTTTAAGGTCCCATATTATGCTATTTTCTGATCTCTGTAAGTAAAGTTTATTTATATAGCGCTTTTCAGAGACAAAGCTCACAAAGTGCTTCACATATAAAGATAAAAATGGCAGAAGATACATTCATAATAAAATAAAATCATTCATAGCAGCTCTAAACCTGAGGGGGAGATCGCTTGTTCAAAGAGAAAAGTTTTTAGTTGTTTCTTAAAAGTATCTACACTATCAAGAGAGGTAAGGAGGCAGTTCATTCCAGAGTTTAGGGAATACGGCTTCAAAGGAACTGTCGCCTTGTGTTTTAAAACTTGCCCAAGGGACCATTAAATAGTTTTGGCTGGGAGACCTCAGGCTACGGGCAAAGGTGTACAGCTTTATCAGATATGTGATGTAACTAGGAATCTGACCATGTACGGCCCTAAAGGTCAGCACCAGGATCTCAGAGTGGACACGAAAAAGAACAGGGAGCCAATGTAAGGATTTTACGATCGGAGTGACCCACTGGTGTTTGTCAGGAGCCTTGTGGCAGATTTTTGGACCATTTGGAGCCGGGTAAGTTCCTTCTTGCTCAGACAGGTAAAGAGACTGTTACTGTTATCTCTGTTATAACATTGTTTCTTCATCAAAAACAGACCTGGAGTTGTTTTTAGTTTCATTCACACATGTTTAACACACAAACCCTGCATATTTAGGCTTTTAGAATTCTACTCTTTAAAGGAAAACACTGTTCTACCTAAATTGCTCCACTGCTATGTTTTTATCAGTTTTTAATTGATAAACCAAAGCACGTAGTAGTCTAGTCTCAATAGATTTGCTCCAAAATAATATACTACAACTTTTATTTCAATTTACTGTGGTGAGTTCTAGCATAATTCTCTGACTATAACATTGGCTATATGAGCACATTTTACCATAACTCTGCACTTAACTGAAAATGGCGTCTGGATGGGAGCTGAAATGTCTTGAGTGTTAAAACATTGTCCAGATGATCACAGCTTCTTTACCTTGAACCGCTCCTGGACAAATGAGGGATTACAGCGGTTCATTTAACTGTGCACTCAGTCTGGCAGCTACAGTTTTACCGAGCTGAAAATGTTATTAGAGAATATCGTTTCCTTGTTCTCGACGATCATACATGTTGCCACGCTCTGTTGCCAGGGGCCACAGACACAATAGTTTTTCATCTGAACAGGACATTACACCCATGGGCTACTCAAGATGGCCGACACTCTGTTACAAGAATCTTCATCTTTTTTTCCCATTCGCACCACAGTTTCTTTTTCTTTTTTCTTTTTTTTTTTTTAAGGCTCTGTACCTATTTTTTTTCTCATGAATTTGAGCAAAATGTGTCTTTCCCCAGTACAGATATATTGAATAAGCAGCTCTGGAGATTAAATAAGTCAGTTGTGCATTCAATTTGAAAGTGTTTTATTTTCAGAGATTCAGGAAGTGCACTTTAGCATGCTGGTTGTTGTCAGCTTTACTGTAACTTCCTCTGGACTACTGCCCTTATTACTCTGTGTTGTGTTTTGTTTCATTCACACATGTTTAACACACAAACTTTGCATATTTAGGCTGACACTCTGTTCCACCTTGTGATGTCATGTGGTAATACGGGAAATGCTCCACTGTGTTTTTAAAATCCAGACACCTTCACTACAATTATTTGGATAATTTCAGCCCTGGAACTGCTACTGAAACAAATGTAAAAGGTAGCTGTTAAAAGGGCAGTCGGGAATTTTGGACATAGAACCTCATTTCCTAGTGAGCCAGAGTGTTGGAGACGTGTGGAGACACTTTTTTAAATATTACGTCCAGTCCTTGTATTTGCAGAGGTCACTGGTGCTAGACTCGTGCATGTCAATGGCCACAGTTATCCTGCCACTAAAAACCTCTTACCCACTCCACAAAACACCCAAAGCAAATTTATTATCACGCCAGACTGTCCATGTAATAATTTTAGAAGTAAAACCAACCTTGCATTTGAAGGATTTAAGTCTTGAGCAGCAGCACTGAGTTGTACTTCCTGACAGAAAGCTTTGCAGCAGCAGACTGATGTCACCTAGCACCTATCTTACTGGAAAAGCAAAATTCCGCTGCTGCTGAGAAAATAGTCCCTCAACATGCGATGATTCATGTGATGCAAGGTTAGTTTTATTTCAGACATTATTCTATCAACACAGACATTTACACTGACAGTCTGGTGTAATGATAGATTTGCCCCGGGTGTTTTGTGGAGTGGGGTGTGTAAGCCTGTTTTTAGTGGCACCAACCTCTGCAAATACAAGGACAGGATGGAATATTTTAAAAAGTGTCTCCACATGTCTCCAACACTCTGGCTCACTAGGAAATGAGGTCCAAAATTCCAGACTGTCCCTTTAACTTGAAAACTAGCACCAGATGACATCACAAGGTGGAACAGAGCATTTTGAGCTTTGGAGATGTAAACAAACTACTAAAGGATTACTCAAACGTGTATGAATGAAACAAAACACAACTCCAGGTCTGTTTTTGAAGAGGTAACAACATTCTAACATGGCTTAAAGCTCACAAGAGTCAAGTTTGTGTAAGTACAGTGCCTTTAAACCAGATTTAAATTTTTCTCCACTCGTTTCTTTCTGATTTCATGAATGCGTATTTACTTGTTTGTTCAACTTTATCTTATGCGCTTCCAGCCATAGTAAGTGCCCCAAGCAAGTATAAAACTGAGCATCATTGTATCTATTGACCTAGTCTTATCAGCTTCTAAGCTAGAAAATGTCAGTCGCATTAGTGTTGCAGGGGAACTATTGATGTAGATCTCTGTTTAAACCCTCGAGCTAAAGTGTCAGCAAAAGCAAATATATAGGTTAGAAAAAATGCTGTTTGAAAAGCATGCACAGCTGGAGCCAAGAGGCAGACATCTGTTTTTATCTAAGTTATTGTCCATTGCTGTTTATGGTTTATGACGTATATTAAGTATGCAGTATACAGGCTATAATGTGAGAGAAGAAATCTACCATTCTGGTCTACTGGGGGGGAAATGCAATCCATTATATAAAAGATATCAAGATTAAATTATAGTTTGTTTTTTTCAGGACACACTGTGCTTTTTTAATGCAGCAGTATTTTGTTACATTACATACATTTTATTTTCTTATTTCAGGTTTGAAAGCTTGCCTCTTCTGATCAAGCCTCTTCTGTTGGAGTATTTTAAATGTAGTAGTAGTAGTAGTAGTAGTAGTAGTAGTTTTATTCAGTCATTTGGCAGCACTACAAAATAAAACAAAACATAACATCGACTACAACCCCATGGATTATGACAGAAAGGGTTTTGGCAAAAGTAAAAAGTACAAAAGTAAAAAAGTAGCCAAACCCTATTAAACAATGAGAGAATTTCAAGAAAGAAAATCAGTGTATGAACAGCAAGTTTACATTTACAGTTTCATTTACAACATTATATAAGAGACAAAATATAAATTAAAACAAACAAAATTTAAAGCATAAAAGGTCTTATATTACACATGTAATATGAATTCATTCACATGTGTGACTAATTCTGCATTATTAGTCTGTCTCCGAAGCTCAGAATGCTCTTTTACACATTGTGATGTCATGTAGTTTTCAAGTTTACCTTTAGTTCAGCAGAGATTGGCAATTTTAGGGCTGAAATTATCCAAGTGATTCTATTGAAGGAGTATGGAGCACTTCCTGTATTGTCACATCACAAGGTACAACAGATACAAATGCAGCGTTTGTGTGTTACACATGTGCGAATGAAACAAAACTCAACTCCAGGTCTGTTTATGATGTGGAAACATGATAACACGAAAGAAAATATCATCATTATATAGAACCTTAAAATCCACTTCTGCGTCAGTGTTATTTAACCAAGGCAGGTATGTACATTTTAACTTACATTTACGTTATTTAAAGTTCGTTTGTCTTTTTGTGTAGTATAATATTGCACTCATATCACTTGTTTACTCTCATAATGATTTGTAGAGCACATTGAACCACATAAGTTATAATTGGACTTGCTCTCTCTCTGACCTTCCTCTGCTCCAAAGACAAGCACCGGTGCATAAAACTTGCTCTTCAACCTTGAGTGGTGCTTATAAATATTATTATTAAATCAAACTATGTTCTTATTCATGAAATCATTGGAGACTAAAATAATTCTGTCAATGAAAGTTGAGGAACTCCTTGGACCGGTGCAGCCCTGTGGTTATCTGTAGCTCCCATAACTGGAAAATGCAGAGTCAAAGCAAAAACAGAAGGTGTGAGTTTAACTTGAGGAAGAGGACTCGTCTATAATTACTTAAGTCACATTTCTATGAGTCAAAGTTACCAGACGCTGAATCAAAACTTCCGGCAAATCTGCACACTCCACAAGTAGTTAAAAGCAGCCAGACAGTCATAGTTAAGTTATAAGAAGTCTCAAATTGTAGGTGTAGCATAAACAGGCAACTGATAGAAAATGCAAACATTCAAATGTGCAAATGGTACTCAATACTTAAATTAAAATGTATTTTGCAACATATTTTGATACATGGGCCAATCAAAGTACTGTATTCTGAATACTTACAATACTTTCACACATTAAACTATAGTGTAAAAACATGTCATGTAATTAGAAACAGCTTTATGTTTGTTGCACTGTTTGTTATAGAAACGGAAATCACACATGCACACATTGCAAAAGCTTTTTTCCCTCACTACTGCAGTACAAAGCCAAAATTGCATGATGGAGAACTGCCATGTACTCCTTTTCATTTATCAAAGTAACTCTACTCTGAATACCACCCAATGAAAAGGAACTGGACCAGAATACAGGTACTGAAAATAAAGGTTCAGGATACGTATTTTCGGCACATGTATTCAGTTCCCAACACTGGCTACACTACAAATAATGGTTATCTTAAATTCCCTGCACCTCTTTTTTTCCATGCATTTGAATTAAAATGCAGTTTTGTCTGACATTTAGTCTTTATTTACTTTGAATGTATGATGAATGAGACATGAAGCTCATAAAAACAGAGATGTTCCACCCCATTATCGTTAAAAAAGGGATAGTTCAGGTTTTTGACATGAGTCTGTATAGCATCCCCGTGAGCAGTGTCGTGCATCCACACTGACTTACCCCCAACAGTGTCCGGTGAGCCGCGATCCTGGCCGGTTTTGGTGCTGACAAAAGTAATTGGCAAGTTGGCTGGGGTCACGAAACTAAAGCGTTTTTCTTCTTAAAACAATATGTGTTCAAAAGAGTGAAATATTTACATCACAAAACCTTTGTCCTCGAAAAAGTCAGACCTCATAATCTCTTGGTGCCATTTTTTCTCCATTCATATTACTGCATGCTGCTGGCAGGTGACAGATGCGCCTGTTTCACTTTGTTTACTGCTCAGACAGTTAGCAATGATGATGATGATGAAGAAATTGCCTTTAGCACAGAGCCAATGGGATATCTTTATGAACCTGAATATACTGATGCCGAAATTCACCAGAGGGATTTAGAACGGGCAGAGAGAGAGACGAGGGACAGAGAAGTGGCACAAGTTGAAGCTGGAGCCACAGCTGGAGCCTTGAGAGACCGGGAGACCTACAAATGGTGGTGCACTTGTTTTAAGTGTAAATAATGCCGACAGAGGTGGAGTTGGAGTCCATCTGCTTGTCACAGTACAGATATATTGTATAAGCAGCTCTTGGGGTTAAAATATGTCAACTCTGTGCTGTCTGCATCTAATTATGAAGTGTTTTAATGTTGAATAATCAGAAAATGCTACCATGATGTTAACCGTGACTGCAAAACTCCGCTCTGATCTCCGAGAATTTTGAAAAGCACTTATAAACTTTGTGAATTGTGGTGAATAATTAGGATGCTTGGAATTCAATAGTTAAAGCTGCAATGCGTCACTTTTCTGGTAGAGATACCTGCTTGTCTCCATGGAGTTGTTATTGCTTTGCCTGGAATGTTCCACGGTATGACATTAAACATATATAAGTCATGGTTCCTGTTCTGTAGTGGTTGTTTTTGCTTATTTTGGTGTATCTTTTTCCTTTAGTGTTGTGTGCCCTTTTATTTTGATATTTTCCTGTCTGCTTGTAGTTTTGAGTTTTACTTCCTGTCTTGATTGTTTGTCCCGCTCTGATGTGTTTCATCAGCCGGTTTTACTTTGTTTCACTTCATCTGGCCTCGCAGCCTTAGATTTTGTTCGCTCAGCAGTAGGTGGGTAGTTTTTATCATTTAACCAATCCCTGCTATTTGGTCATAATGTATGTAATGCGCCATTAACGGGACTAACTGGTATATTAAGCTTTTCCCAAATCCCGTAGGAAGAAGGGCAATAACGACTTTCCCCTTGATAAAATTCAGTGAACATTGTCTTTATTCCAGCTTTAAATCCTCGATCTCAGGAATCATTGACAACACTGAATATAGGGCTCTTCACTGATTGGCTGGTGCCTGAACTCGCACTTCCAGGATTTTTGCGAACTGTCTGTTGTATGTTGATTCCTGACCTAGTTGCTGGAGAGAAATGAAATTTAATGGAGGAACTAGGTGACGCCAGCCTGGCTAGTGTTTCACCTGTGTCTGTGTGCATTTATACCCTCTGTTCTCCTCTACCCTTTGCTGGTTTTTGTCATTGTTTGTGTCTTTGTCAGTGTCTTGTCCTGTCATGGCAGTTTAGTTAAAATTTTTTGGATTTATGGATTTTTAGGATCTTTTTTGTATGTTATGAAAGAACTCTACAGCAGTCCTGCATTTTGGATCCTCCCTTTGTTTCCACGCGACAATATATCTAACAATTATTCATTACGTGTGTTTTTATTGCTCAACTACACAATACTTCTGTGAAAAGGGGCGACTCTCCACAGATCTGAACTGTAATGTAGTGCAGTGCTATAACCTGCTTGTCTCCCTCATGACAGAGGTTTAATCTATACTGTGGAACATTATAGATAAAGCAATAACATCTCCATGGAGACAAGTAGGCAGCGAACATCCCGCCAGAAAATATCTCTTCTGAAAATAACTCTTAAAATGAAGTATTCCTGTTTCTCGCATTTAGTACAAATTAGGTACAGCGTCTTTAAATGTGATTTTCTTTTTCGTTTTCTTTTTTTCTTTTTTTTTCTTTTTTTGTTGGCCCTATTTGTGGTCATTGGTCAGGAAGTTGGTTGGGGAACTCCACTTGGCTCATCTGATGTCCACTGAAGTATCTGTTCTCTTTTTTGTAGTTCCTTTTTCGGTGGCATCAATAACTCTGAAAAACATGTATAACAACTTAACACAGTGTACTCAGATGTGTCATGTATCTCACTATAGCTTTGTACAGTCTATATATAAATATTGTATAGTGTTGCCGGAGTTGCCTGCACCTTCTGCTCAGTCTGAGGAAGTGTGGTGTGATGTCTGTTCTGACCATAAGCATCAATGTGAAAAAAGATACTCATTAATATGCTGCAATGACTTCTCTTTTTTAATTACACGGATTTAAAACTGAAAGAAATCATAAAGTTGCATTTCTATCTCTGGGAAATTGTCGTCATCAGTGTACCGTATGAGGGCTGTTCAGTGATGTCGCTGGTTTATTTTTATGTTGGTTAGCTGGAAAATTAAGAGGTGAAAATGTGGTTCAGTATCTCAGTTATTTGATTTTGCTCAGTCTGTTGCATTAATGTTAATAACAGAATTCAAAGTCAAGACATTTTTACTTAAAACCTTTCTATTAAACTCTAAACTACCCAAAATGATTTTAATCCTCTTCAAATTTTGCAGTGTATTTTGTAACCCACTGTAACGCTATTGAGTTAAGCTGGGTTTGTTCACATTTTAAGTTTAATCTAGATTCAAACATACTGGTGAGGTTCTGCCTTGTGTGTCTCCATGGAGATCATATTGCTTGCCTGAAATGTTGCACAGTATGGCATAAAACTTATCTATTTCCACGGAGACGTCATGAGGCCAAGTTACATTTCAGATGTGGAGACGTGATCCCTCTTGTGATAAGAATACATGTTTATCGAGGTACTTTTGAGCAATAAAAATACCTGTAATAAGATAAATGCTACTGATATATTTCATTGTACATTTCAGGTAATATAATGAAATCTCCATGGAGACCACAAGCAGGTGGGGGGGGGGTCCCTACCAGAGAAGTTTCATAGTGCACCTTTAACGAGGATATATTGATATTGAGCCTGCTATATGCCGTATTTTTCAGACTATAAGTCGCTCTGGACTATAAGTCACACCAGCCAAAAAACACGTAATGAAAAAGAAGAAAAAATATATAAGTTGCACTTTTTTGGGAAAATTAATTTTATAAAATCAGAGAGCAGGAACTGAGATTTCATCTTAAAAGGGAAGTTATAGTATTAACAATTGAACAGAGAACAACAAACTGTTAACATCAGATATGCACAGTTATTCAGATAACTACAGCATAAACAACAGAACAAAACAAGTTTACTAAACTCTCAATCTCACTCCAGATCGCTAAATCCATTATTCATCCTCTGTGTCACTTCTGAGCAACTCTGCAACCTCCAGAGGTAAACAGAGCACCGCTTCCTCTTCTGTGTAGCTGTCATCAGACTCAGCATCACTTACAGTTAGAATTATTATAAGTCGCAGAACCAGTGCGACTTATAGTCCGAAAAATACAGTACGTACTTATAAGCTACAACACTCATGGATCATTACGTTTTAATTTGCACATTTTAAATTGCATTATTTATTAAAAAATTACATTCAGTCCTCTGACTTCCATGTTAGAGAAAAGCGGTGTTCAATGGGAGCTGACGTGGCCTTAAACATCATTACAACAAAGAGTCATGAAGTTGTCTGCACCTCCTTTGGATAAATGCAAATCATGGTAGCGAGTAGTGGATTTTAAAAAAATGTGTACCAAAATGACTATGCATATCATCGCTTAGGAAAATAAAATTGGACAACGAGGTAAGTAGAGAGCAGTGGGCGTGTACCAGTGGCGGTGAAAACGGGAGTTGATTGACAAAATGTCATCTTAAAATAAGTGATTGCTCAAAAATGCTCGAATCACTCCGTATGCAACTTCAAGAGGGTTCATGAGAAAGAGGGACCACTATAGCGTTTTGATTTTGCATAATAGATCTGCTTTAAGAGTGCATCCAGTTATATTAATGTCTCCACTTTCTTGTTCATATTGCTGTTAGAATAATTAAGTGCAGCCTTACCACCAAAATCTTACCAACCCCATTCTATCATGGTGATAAATACCAACTTTAAGTCCACGTTCACAGTTTAAATGATTACAATGGGAGTTAATGCTTTCCTTTCCGTGGGTCACCCCTTGCTGTGCTTAAGCCCCCAGAACCTTCCATGAACCCAAATCTAGATCCACATCTCCATTGTAGCCTCTCCCACCCCTCTCTACCGGGATAAACACCTGCCCAGGGGTATTCTGGGTAAACTCGCGAGCTGCATCTGTGGGGAGGATTACAGTAGGGGTCCACGCAGAAGATGGATGAAAAAAAAGGAGGGAGTGGAGTGGGAACGGAGGAGAAAGAGATAAAATGGAGGAAGGTGGCGGTGGGCAGGCAGCAGCTGGGTGATTATGACTCCCAGGTTACATCTCTGTATGCTCCAATTCTCCTGTGAGCGGAGAAAGAGAGGGAGAGATGAAAAAAGAAATGGAAGAAGAAAGAGAGAGGGTGGGAGGGGATATATGGGAAAACAAGAGGAAAAGTCAGAGATGGAGAGACAAAAGAGTAAGAGAAAAAGATATAGAGAGAAACAGGGATTCTCACTCATGGATATTGCACCACAGATCTACTCCGCTCCTGCCATTAAGATGATATAATATTTATGAAGCAGGACAGAGTGGCCATACATACACCTGCTCCATGCATTTGTGCCGTGTTTTTCTCGTGTTGTCTTCTTCTGCGGTAATAGAAGAGAGATTATTTCTGTTCAAAAAACGAAAAAACAGACAGAAAATGTGTGCTTCCAAAAGGTCATGCTATACTTTCTAACACTTTTTATTTATTTATTTATTTTGCACATATATAGAGCTTATATTTAAAGAATGCATTAATATGTTAAAAATTGAACATTATCGTTGTGCTTAAAAAAAAAAAAAAACTTTTACACAACTTGGATTAAATTATTTTCATTCAAACATGGATTAAAATATAATGAAACACCCACAACTGAATGATTATCAAACATTATCATGAAATATCAAACATTTCCTCAAACTCTTTTTAAACAGCGCCTCTGATCTGCCGTCACTAAGCAGATGTGAAAACTGGCTCGATAAGTCACAGCCTCGGCATCGTAGGCAAAACTGAGCTCTTGATGTGACACATTTTGGAACATGAAAATTACGATTTTGACGAGTGTCGTATGTCATAGTACACTTCAGCTTTTCTGTTTCTCCCCGTTATCCCTCCCCCACACTCAATACTTACTCTGCTTCTGATTATCCTTCCGAGTCAGTTTTCCGAGTAAGTTGAGAGTAAGATGGCGCGAATCGGAACTCGGTGACAGAAAAAGTAGACCGAGCAAGGATTCCGAGTCAGAAGCCAAGATGGCTCCGCCCACTGTGACATGTAAATATGAAATTTTTCCATTGTGTTTGGACACTTTGATGGTTTAAATGACAATTTCAGTCACTTGTATTACTGCAATGCCTTACCCTGTCCAGATCACTGTCTATGGGTGTGGTAGTCGGTGTTGTTGTGAGGCTACACACTACTCTCCGAATCCAACACGCGAAACATAATAATACGCTTCAAGCTTGGACATGACGTCAAATCCAAGATCTAAGTGCGAGTCAGAAGATAATTGAACACAGGGTTACTTGCCTCACCTGGAGCTGCTGGGTGTGACCATGGCTCCTCCTCCTGTTCGTGGGCTAGCCTGCACACTTGTCTCTCATCATCAACATCATCACCTCCAGTCTAAAAGCCTGAGTTCTTCACACCATCTCTGCCAGATCCTCAGTTACCTTCGTAGTGAAGATTTGCGCCGGCAATTTATGGCCAAGTGTATTTTTGCAATTTACTTACCTTCTCCATTTGTCTCTTCTCCAGCTCCTCCGACAGCCTGCTGGGTCCTGTTTCTGCTCCACCGCCAGCTCCAAATATTCCAACCCTGTCTTCCACACCTACCTGCTGCTCCCGGACTTGCCTCCAGTCCCTGCAATATTCCTCATTTCCTGTAAATAAATCATTGTTAAACCTTTCTTGGATTTTTGTCTGCTACAAAATACCTACAAAAATGAGCATTCTGGCTGTGAGCTTGGTTGTCTCTCCACAGATCTGACCTGTGATTTGATCTGGAAGACACAAAGGTTGAATGCCATACTGTGAAACCTTCCAGACAAAGCAAAGACATCTCCATGAAGAAAAGCATTTGACAGACCCTCCACCAGAAAAATTACACAATGCACCTTTAAATAAAAAACAAAGGCAGTTCAAAAATGTAGCACAAAATTATGAATCACCCTACTTTCCCCTTACTTTCACCTGCCTGTTGATGGTCATATACTGTACAATTCGTTGGAGTATTTGTACAGTCCTTTGCTGTAAAAATGCTTAGATCTCCCAAAGTAAGGAGCAGAGAGGCCAGAGGCAGAAGCAGGGCAGTGGGCCTCTTCACACAGCTCCACATGCTCAGCACCTTAGGGACCCTGCAAGGATAAAAATAAGACTCATGAATTTAGTTATCTACTCTCACGTCCGGGGCTCTACTGGGAGTGTGATAAAAAACCAATGCAATTTTCCCAAAACATGCTGTGAAAAAAGGTGAATAGTCATACAATAGTCATAAAAAGGGCTTGAGAGGAGCAGAGAAAAGCCCAGGGACATTTTATAGCAGCATTAATCAGCCCAATTACAGTGGCTTGGCTTCAACATGGAGTCATAGGGGAAAAAAGATTATTACAATTTAAGTTCTTTTGTGAACTATAGTAGAAATAAGAGTGAGGCAAATACTCAGCTCTTCTTCATCGTCACAGTTTAATACAGCGTTTAACACAGCCACCACATCCCTACAGACACTGCACTGATTCGTCTGTCAATCTCACTCTCCATCCTTCCCTCATTCATGAACAAGACCCCGAGATAGTTAAACTCCTCCTCTAGAGGCAGGGACTCTCCACCATAGACTGTGCATAGTGGACACAAGCCCCGGGGTTTCAAAATAGTCGCCCATGCAAGTCAATGGGCCGAGCTCAAGGGCGCATCTCTCCAGATTAGTCAAACCCGGCGAGGTACTTCGGGTGGCTGTGGGCCAATTGAGCATGCGCAGTAGTGCTCTTTTCTAGTGTTTTTTTTTTTTTTTTTAAGACAACTGAAGGGTTTTGAGCTGAGAAAAAGTTTATGATCTAAAAACAGGTAAAAATGAATACAAAATCCAACATTTTTTTGAAAGTTGTAGGTGCCTTGTCAGCCGAACACGAGCAGTTTATGATTACAGTGTGCTCTATAAAAAAAATCTCTCTCTCAGCCCATGGGATTTTTTCCTGAACTAACATTGAGTGTCCATTACATCAACTGGAAGCAGCTACAAGCAGCAATACCCTATCCTTTTATTTTAATAGAGTGAGTCATGTGTGGACATAGCTAACCTGCTAGCTGGAAGTGAGCATGGGAGCGCTTCTGGCTCCATCGACTCCTTGTGTTTTTATTTCGCTATTTTGTCCGTGAATAAATTCCTATTCCTAATATGGAACCCGGCTTCGAATTCACCCCATAACTGCTAGTCTCATGTAGCCTGATTCAACAGCTGGTTTCACTTCGTGGAAACCGTCTGACCTCGCAGCATTAGAATTCGTTTGCTCGACGGTCAGCAGGTACTTCTTTATTTAACCAGTCACTGCTATTTGGTCGTGACATATGTAATGTGCTGCTAACGGGGCTAACTGGTATATTAAGCTTTTCCTAAATCTTGTAGGAAGAAGCACAATAACGTCTTTCCCCTTGATAAAATTCAACAAACATTCTCTTTGTTCTGGCTTTAAATCCTCAATCTCGGGAATCGTCGCCAACACAGAATGTATGACTCTTCGTTGGTTGGCTGATGCCCAGACTCCCACTTCCGGGGTTCTTGCAAACTGTCTAGTGTATTCCGATTCCTGAGAGAGAAATAGAGAGAAAAGAAATTGAACGAAGGCACTAGGTGGCACCAGCCTGGCTAAGTCTCGTGAGCTTCATTTGACTGCCCAGAATGTAAACAAATAATTAAAAACACATAATTTTACAGTGTTAAAACATGAAAAACAGATCTAGTGCATTTTAAACTGTTTGCAGTTGTCCAAAGTTATTCTTCTTTTACTTTATGCATTCTGAGCATCTTAATTATATAATCAGACTTTAAAACAGTTTGTAATCAGATGCAGACAGCATGCACAGCAGACATATTTTGACCTGAAGTGGTGCTTATATAATATATACAGGGTCTTTAAGTAAGGACAGCTTCTGCAATTAGCATAAAAATGAAAGAATGTTTTTAACCCTGGCGTGTCATGATACTGTGACACTACACCATAATGTTAGTCTTCTCTCTGTGCATTGTGATAATGCTTTGAGGTCTCGGGCGTATAAGTTCTGCTCTGTTTATTTATGTGTGTTTAAGCTGAATAATGTAGCTCGAATTTGCCGGAGCGTAAACAGCTGGCCGACCAATCTTTTCCCACCTGGACACACTGCACACTGCCTGCACTATAACTCTCCCCACTACAGAGACTAAAAGCTCTTAGCGCCAACTCAGCCGACCTCTGCAAACTATCTTGTATCTTGTGCGTATTGGATATTGCAAACTTGTCTACAATATACAACTGCTTACTAATTCAATACAGTATGTTCAGATCTTTCCTCTTGTTTCTTTCTCTCTCTGTTTTTCCTGCCTGCTTGTATCGATTGCGTTCTTGGCACTAACAGTGTTCAAGAGGAGAGCTGTTCCATGCTGAGGCCGCTGGCTGTTTGTTTGTGTGTTTTACTGCAGTAGGACCCCCGTCTATCTGGCTGGCAATAGAAGGGGAAAAATATATTGTTATTGGTTGTTACATTAGTTACCTCGCTGTGCAGTTAGGTCTGTCTGAGCATGTCAAAGCCCCACTGTGTAACATTATAGCCACTACATAGACTAAAATAAAAACAGATATTGATTTATTGGTGTGTTATTGCTCAATATTACTCGAAAAACTTGCTTTATTACCGTGAGAGGGCTTGTCTCTCGAGAAACAAGCTCTTTCACTATAATAAACTATTAAAATATGATGGTAACTTACTCTTTATTGTAAGAAATGTTACGCAGTTGAGGTTTAGGTAACTCAGAGACTATATTGCAGATATTAAGGTATTCTTTACTGTCTACAATGAGGAATATGAGCTTTGCAACCTCTGTACTGTAAGAGCCAAGCTTCAGTGTTAATTATTTTAATCTCTCATTGTCATCATTTGCATTGTGGCTGTGTGGATAATGTTGTTGCCCAAGATCCTGTATCTGAACCACTGTGGTTAGACAAAGAGTCAAATGGTCTAGAAGGCCAAATACTCCATTAATATGACAATGTTCTATATTTGCCATACATTATTTGCTTGTTTCTATGGATATGTCATTACATTTAGTCTATAGTATTACAGCTGCTTTTAAAGCTCAAAACAGGCATTCTGACTGTTAGCGACGTTGGCAGATCTGACCTGTAAGTTGGTCTGGTTTGGTCTCCATGAAGATAGAAATTTTGAATATCATACATAGAAGACAAAACAACAGAGGCTGCACTATCATTAGGCTAAAGTAGGGAGCTGCTTAGGGCCCCCAAACCTGGAGGGGCCCCCAACCAATTGCCCTCAGTTCCACTAATGGCTGAGGCCTCAGAGCAATTAGATTTTCTCTCAATATGACATTAAATGAGAGTGGTTTACTTTTAAACAATAATCAATAATCAAAATAATAATAATCTTATGTAATGGATGTAAACAAAAATGTAATTGTAGTAGCAAAAAAAATAAATAAAGTTACTTTCAGCTCTGGTTATCTAGTAGGCTACTAACTAATAAGACAAGTTTCCAATCCACCATAATTTAAATAAATAGAGATGTGCATGTGTCAAGAATAATGGGCAAAAACAGACAATAAATATATACAAAAACAAAACGGTGCATTATAGTGAGGGCCCCAAGCTCAAGTTCGCCTAGGGCCCCCAAATTGCTAACTCCACCACTGCAAAGCAATAACATTTCAATGAAGAAAAGCATTTGACAGACTCTCCACCAGAACAGTTACACAATGCACCTTTATTTGGGGGTATCTAACCAGACTGAACAACAACACCATACATAGGAGATGTACAGTATATGGCAGCTACAGTTAGCACCCTTGCCTCACACCAAGAAGGTCTGATTCCCAGGACGAACTGAGTATGTCTGTGTTTCGTGTTCTCCCTGTGTCTGGACAGAGCTCACTGTCCCTGTTAGGTTGCCCCGCCTCTTAGTGCCATGATGGATGAGACAAATTCACCTATATGGAGCAGTAAAGCGTATCTTAACCTATAACTATATAAGTCACGGGAGCTGCAAACATAAAGATCTGTGTATTGATCTAAGTGTATTTCTATTGTTCAACTCTAACTCTCTCTTGAGCTGGAGGTTCGAGAGAAGCTTGTTAATTTCATTTTATAGTCTCTCCATGGTCTGTTGTTATGGCTGGGGAGTGGGGGTTGCACCAGCAGCACAAAGCGCTATAAAAATGTCTGGTTGTCTGGATTTCAAATGTCTCACAAATATATTTTCTTCCCCTTGTTGCAAACCATTTTTTTTATCTATCTATATATATTTTAAGATTGTATAAAAAAAATCATGTTTCACTAGTTTTGGGGGATTTGGTTTAAATTACTAACATCAAAGTCTTATCATTTTGTTTTAAGTGAAAATATACGTATTTCACAGTGTAATGACAACCACAAATTGAATCTACGACGCACACCGCTCATGTATAATAAAGTCGCCTCTCGGGAGAATTGGTTTTGAATTCATAATTTCCCAGCTTTCTCCTCCTCCTTCAAGGTGCTTTTACCATCACCGAACCCCGCTAATGTATGCAGCCTGCACTAGATCAAAGATACACGCTTTATATTTTGGTGCGGGGTTTGCTACATGTATGTGCGCAGCTAACAGGCATGTAGCATATCTTCAAAAGCAGCAGCGGAGGCCCGAGGTGAGAGGTGCATGCTGGGAGATGTGTCTTGATGTCAGATTCTTTAACAGGAGTTGGAGTCTCTTCCTAATATGGCTTCACATTATACAGACATGGTATGAAGGTGAATCAGAGCCGAAAGCTTTGACAGTTTGTGCTCACTGACCTTATATCGTAGCGTGATGGTCGTGTGCTCGGAGTCCTACTTACTCCACCAGCCTCAGGGGGAGACGGAGAATGTGCCACAGGGAAAACATGTGGAGAATCAAGTTAACCATGAAGAAGATACTATAACTGAATTAGTGATACTGAGCGATTTTGGGGGAAAAATCTACTTGCATTTTTTCTGAACGAAGCAATTAGACTTTGAAAATATGTTTTATAGTGAGAATTATGTCCCATTTTAAACATTTGACAAAAGACTGAAATTGGTGTTTAATGTTATTAGGTTCTTTTTTTTCAGACCAAGAGCTTTTTTTCATACCTGACCAGTTTTGACTGCTCGCTAGCGCTCTTCCTCAGAGTGGTCATGTGATGTTGTTGATGTGTCCAGTCAGCTGAATTATACAGGTTTTGGTGCTGTCTTCCTACCAGCAGAGGTAGAACGACAACGCCGTCTGCAATCTGACTTCCTCAGGACAGTATCCCAGGTGTGTGAGAGTAAAAAAGCCCCCTTGTCCTGGTTTATAGTCCCGTGGGCACGTTTCCGTATTTCAATTGCCTCTTTAATTCAGCGGTGATGTTTGTTTTCCTCTGTCCCAGTAATGTTTGCTCCATCCCAGTCCATAATGTGGTTCTCTCCTTTACTGTGGTCAAGATGGCCGGACTCTGAGGAAGAGCACTAGTGAGCAGTCAAAACTGTTAGGTATGAAAACAAACTCTTGGTCTGAACAAAAAGAACCTAATAACATAAAATATCAGAAGACCAAATGAATCTCATTGGACTGAAATTGGTGGTTTTCAGATTCTAGATGATGACAATATTTCAACATAAACCTGCCTTTGAGCAATGCACATTTCACTGCCCCCATCTGAATTAAAAATCCTATATTATGCAAAATTGAGCTTTAAATCATGTTAGAATGTTGTTACCTCATCAAAAGAAACATTTAGTTACACGTTTAGTTGTTTTGTTTCATTCACACACGTTTGAGTAACCCTTTATTATTTGTGTTTCCACATCTCCACCTTGTGATGTCATGAAGTGGTCGTCTTCAAGTTAACAGCCACCTCTTACCTTTTTTCTCAGCACAGATATGGTCAAGGCACTCAAAGCACTTTACAACAAGGAACCAGCCATTCATACACCAGTGTACACAGACATTGGGGGCGAGGTGGGTTAAGTGTCTTGCCCAAGGACACAACGACAACATTCATCTGTGGAAGGTGGAATTGCACCACCAACCTGTGGGAGGTTACCACTCAACCAATGATGTTTATGTCAAGAGTGGGATTAGAACCGCCGACCTCCAGATTAGTGGACAAATGCTCTTACCAACTGAGTGACTGCCGCTCCAATCTATTGTATAAGTAGCTCTTGAGGTCAA